ATACCCATTTAGAATGGCATGGATTCTTAGTATTATCCAAGAGACAAAGACAGCCAGGACAACACTTGGCTCTGACTTCCCTCTCCCTACAGTGACACCATCAAGAAAGTCTATTTCCTGTCTCATTCACTCAGTAGGCATTGAGAGCCTCTTGTGTGTCCAGCAGGCAGAGAGACGGATGTGAGTCACCAGTGTGCCATAACAGCCAAAAAAAAAAAAACCAAAGCTGGGCCGACATAAGAAGGGTCCACTGTCCAGAACAAGGGTGGCAATGGTCCCACTGTCCTCTGGCCTGAACAGATCTCATCTTGAGTACTGGGAGCATATATTAGGAAGGACTTGTTCAAGCTGAAGAGGATCCAGAGGAAAGTGGCCAAGATGGTAAAAGGACCATCCCATAGAGCAGTGGTTCTCAACTTGTGGTCCCCCAGGGGTCCCCAAGCCCCTTTCATTAGTAATAATAATAGCTAATGTTTACATAGCACCTACTATGTGCCAAGCATTGTCCTAAGCACTTTACAAATAATATCTCATTTGATCTTCACAACAGTCTTGGCTGGTGGGGGTGCGGGAGATTAGGTGCTATTATTACCCCCATTTTGCAGATGAGGAAACTGAGGCAGACAGCGGTGAAGTGATTTGCCCAAGATCACACAGATATCTAAGGCCATATTTGAACTCAGGTCTTCCTGACTCCAGGTTCAGCTCTCTCTCCACTGCACTTCCTAGCTACCACAATGTTCAGTCTTTTCAGTCGTATCTAACTCTTCACGACCCCATTTTGGGGTCTTCCTGGCAGAGATACTGGAGTGGTTTGCCATTTCCTTTTCTAACTCATTTTACAGATGAGGAACTGAGGCAAATAGGGTGAGGTGACTTGCCCAGGGTCACACAGCTACTAAGTGTCTGAGGCTGGATTTGAACTCAGGAAGACGAATCTTCCTGCTTCCAAGCCCAGGGCTCTATCTGCTGCACCACCTAGCTGCCCCAAGTTTGGAACTACTTTCATAATAATACTAAGACATTTTAATTTCAAATATGGCAAATACCAATAGATATAACCCACATAAACAAAAGGTCTTGGGGTGGGGGTCTTCAATTATTTTAAGAGTTAATGGGGTCTGAGGCCAAAAAGTTTGACTTTGTCTGCCATAGAGGATCTGCTGGAGAAACTGAGGTTTTTGGTTTTGGTTTTTTTTTTTTTTTTCCTGGAGAAGCCTGGAAGGAGGCTTTGAGTATCTGAAGGATAGTCCTATCTTAAAAGGGTTAGCCCCAAGGGAAGATGCCAGGTAAGGAAGGGTTTTAAAAGCCAAACGAGATTTTATTTTTGATCTTGAAGGTAAGAAAGGGCCACTGGGATTTATTGAGGGGAGAGGGGGAAGGAGGAGACATGATCGGATCTGCAATTTAGGAAGGTAACTTTGGCAACTGAGTGGAAAACAGATTGGAATGGAAAGACTTTGAGGCAGGGAGCCCCGCCAGCAGGCTCTGGCAATAGTCTGGGTGTGAGGTGGTGGCAGTGTCAGAGGAGAGAAGGGGGCGTATCTGAAAGACATTGAAGAAATAGAAATAACAGAACTTGGTAAGAGCTATCTCACAGCTCTGGGCATTATCTCCGGCTGTCTCCCCTGCCTGGAATGCTCTCTCTCCTCATCTCTGCCTTCTGGCTTCCCTGGTTTCCCTCAAGTCCCAACTAAAATCCCACCTTCTACAGGAAGCCTTCCCCACCCCCCCTTAATTCCATGCCTTGCTCCTTCAATTATTTCCTATTTATCCTGTACAGAGCTCGCTTTATATAATATTTGCTCACATGTTGTCTCCCTCATTAGATTGTAAGCTCCTTGAGGGAAGGGAATATCTTTTGCCTCTTTTTGTATGCCCAGAGTTTAGCACAGTGCCTGGCACTTAATAAATGTTTATTGAATGAATCAATGAATGAATACGGGGAGGGGAGTGAGTTGAGGACGATGCTTAGATTGTGAGCCTGGTAAGTGGGAGTATGGCACTGTCCTTGCCAATAATAGGGGAGTTGGGTTTGGAAGGAAAGATGATGAGTTCTGTTTTGGACCCATTGAGAACATGCTTATGAGACATCTACTTGTGGATACTCACTGGGCAGCTGGTGACCTGAGACTAGAACTCAGAAGAGAAGTTAAGGCTATATTTAGATGCACACTTTTTTTTTTTTTTTGCATTTTTGGTGAGGCAATTGGGGTTAAGTGACTTGCCCAGGGTCACACAGCTAATAAGTGTCAAGTGTCTGAGGTCAGATTTGAACTCAGGTCCTCCTGACTCCAAGGCCAGAGCTCTATCCATTGCACCACCTAGCTTTTTAGGCACACTTTTAAGAGATGGCTTGGTGGGTACTTTGTCAAAGGGATTCTCATTCAGGTATGGACTGGTCTCAATGGTTCTTCCATCTCTGAAAATCTGTGAGATGCGAGATGAAGAACCCACTGCCCTGGCCTTCAGTTGTATACAACAAACCAAATTTTTTTCCTCTGTCCTTCAGTAACTTTTTCAGAGAGCTGTGCAGCTACCAGGCCCCAAGCTCTAACTAGCCATTTCAGAACCCAGGTCAAGCAGTCCAAGGGTGCCCTCTGCTCAACTGACAAAGACAAATTCTGTTCAGCGGGAAAGGGGAACAAACAGTTGTCTGGAGCCGAATGGGGAGGCCCCCACCTGGAGTGCGCCATAGCCATCATCGGAAAGTTTCCTATTTTAACTAATTATTCTGCCAACAAAGTACCAGTTTCAGTCATTTCTAAGATGCTCAGAGGAGAAGTCTTGAAATGTCAATGCCCTGGGGCAAAGCCATGTACCTCAAAGCCAGAGGAACAACTCAGAAGAAATTGGGGACCATGAGAATTAAGCGCAGGACTGAGGTTGGGGTGTTAGAAGAATCAGAATAGGTAACGTTTGTAAGTACTTGTAGGTTTGCAAAGGGCCTTACTGGGTCTCTTTCCCTAGAGAGCTCTAAGGACAAGGTAGACAGACAGCCATCAGACTAGACAGAGATGGATGAATCTTCTCCACAGACAAAGGCATGACGGAAAACAAACAAAAAAAAAACCCAACCAAAATCGAAACAAAAACAAAAAAAAAAACAAAAAACCTTTGTCTCTATTTTCTAGTCTAGGGCTTATTGTTGTTTGGCAAGCTGGTGAAGTCTATGAAACCCTTCTCAGAACAACGTTTTTTAAAGGCATAAAATTATTTTTTAGTGTTTCGTTGTTATTTAGTCATGTCTGACTCTTCCTGACCCCTTTTGGGGTTTTCTTGGCAACGATACTGGAGTGCTTTGCCATTTACCTTCTCCAGTTCACTTTACAGATGAGGAAACTGAGGCAGACAGGGTCAAATGACTTGCCCAGAGTCACACAGCTAGTAGGGATCCGAGGTTGGATTTGAATTCAGGTGTTCCTAACTCTAGGCCTGGTGCTTTATCCACTGTGCCACCTACCTAAATTGTAGATGATATATATAAACTATTATTATCCTGTGTTACATTATTTATATTATATATAAATTATAGATGATTACAAATTTAATTATATAGAAATAAAAATGTAGTTTTTCTCATCTAAGTTCACGGGCCCCCTGAAATCTATTTAAGGACTCCTTTTCCCCTGGTTAAGAATTGACTTAGCCTGGGTTAGATGAAGCTATGCCAGAAGCAGGGGCATGACCCCAAAGATTTCTGTTCTTACTCTCTAGAATTAAGCCTGCCATCCACAGGTCATCTGCTTTGAAGGGTGGGATTAGGGCTCCACCACTGCCAGGATGATGGAGATCCAAGGTAGCATCTCCCCATTTCCTTGGCAAACAAGCCCCATCTGCACCAGACCTGCCCAAGCCCCGAGCACTCGTGTGCCCAGGAACGTTGTGTTTCATAACCGTGTAGGGGTTGGCAGCAGCGGCACTGGCACAGACTTAGCGCACAGCGGAAAGAAAAAAGGAGGCAGGAGAGGCCGGCGTGCTCAAGCACATCCATCTTTTGCTCACCTTGGCTGCTATGAGGCTGGAGAACCAGCCTACCCAGTCTAAGTTTAGGGTTAGTAGAAAGACCAGGAGGCCCACTGAGCCTTGGCAAGGGGAAGAACCACAGGTAGCAGACCAGGTCTGGGGAAACAGGTGCCAGCTGGGGTCAATTGAAGGGGGAAAAAAATCCCTACCTTTCCTTAGTTTAGGCTCTAGAAACCTGAATAGCCTGAATTAGAAACAAGTTGGGAAAGGAGAGACACAGGCTCTTAGCAAGGAGCAAGGCACCATTGATTTGGCCACAGTACTTTGGCAAAGCAGAAGGGAGTGAGCCCCAGGGGTCAGGGTGTGGTTTCTTTGACTAAGGGTGAAACTAGAGAAATTTCTGAGTGTCTCATCTAGGTAAAGGTGGGGAGGGTGCCTTGGGGAATCTCAGGCCTGGGGCAGAAGGGGGAGAAGTACATTGTATAATCCAGAGGAAGAAGAAAACATACCCATCCAGGACAAAGTAGGGTGAGTGAAGTCAGGAGAAAATGGGCAGACCAGGGTCCTAAGGCGTAGAGCAGGGAAGGGTCTCAGCAGGATCTGGTAGGAGCCAAGGAAGCTGCAGATGGAGCCAGTCATCTTGTGGCTATCTCCAAGGAGGAGACCAGTAGCTGGGCCCTAGGCCTGTTGTCAGCAATGACTTGTGCCTTGGTCTGAGGGAGTAATAACCATAGTAATCACATCCAGCAATTCTATAGGTTTATAAAGCACTTTACTCGGTATCTCATTTAATCCTCACTACCCTGGGAGGTAGATGCTATTATCATCCACCTTTTACAGATGAGGAAACTGAGGCCCAGAAAGGCAGGATTCCAAGTCCAGCGCTTTCCACTCAGGATGACTCTGAACTTGGGGTGGAGAGGTCATCTCATCTGTTGTCCTCATCCTCCTAACCACAGCCTCTTCACCCCTTCCCACCTCCGCACCCCCGAAGGTCGCCAGTTCATAACCACCTTCTTTTCCCTCTTCTACAGGATGACATGCACAGGGTCATCGACCAGCAGCTGATGGATAAACACCAGAAGGAACGGAGCCGGTCTGCTTCATCCTTCTCCAGTGGCCACGGGACAGGGCGGGGGGATGAGCCCAGCGGGGCTGAAGGCAAAGGGCTCTTCTCATTCTTTAGGAAAATTTAAATTGGGAGAAAGCATGAGGAGGGAGCAGGGCCTGAGGGAGGGGGCAAGCAGCTAGCCATGGCCACACAACACTACTACTCGGCCCAGCAACCTGGCTTGGCCAGCCCTGGGCGGGGTGGGGGTCCCACTGTCTGCCAACTTGCCCATCCCACAGAGAGCCAGACTCGTTTTCCCCTCTGTGGGGAAGTGAGCAGCCGGCTGAGCCAGGCATGCTCTGTACCACCCCCCCACACACACACACACACACTAGTGCTGCTGAACCCCCGGGGAGAAAAAGCAGCAGCCGTCTGGAGGCCCTGTCTGCAAGAGCCAGGTCCAAGTGGTAGGCAGGGCCTTAGTCTTCCTTGCACCTCAGCTTACCCCAAGTTCAGGAAGCCTTTTTGCTTCTGCCGAGGCCCACGGGAATCTCTAAGCCTAGGGTGGCTTAGAAGGGCAGAGGGCCTCTGTAATCCTCCTCAGGCAGGGAGTGAGCCATCAGATACAGAGCTTGGGCTGCTCCCCAGGAGTTGGGAAAGGTTGGTTACCCGGCCATCCCCTACCTGCCTGAAGCTCCCCTCCTAACCCACCCACTATGGGAACCTTGGCAGGGAGGAGGGGAGGACCTCTCTGTATGCCGCAGGACCACATTCAGAAGCCCTGTCCTGGCTTTGCATCTCACCCAGGATCAGGGCTTGAGGCCTGACCCCCTAAACTGCCTCCTCAGGGCTTAGTCCCAATGGCAGAGGCTTCAAGGTTGCAGTAAGAAAAGGAACCCTGCTGGCCCGCTGCTGTTGAGTCTGAATCAGCTGGGCCCAAGGGACAGAGATTGAGACGTACTGAGCATCTCTCTCTGGCTGGAACCAGTTCATCCTGCACCCCAGCAGCCAGGGCTGGGACCCTAAGCCTAAACCCCTGGTCCTCCAAGAGAAAGGCAGGCAGGCAGGCTTCAGATCAGCACTCCCTATTCTATCACCCTGGGCAGGGAGGGGGCAGTTTTCTTCCTTCATCGGTCAATGCACACACCTGCACACACATGCACTCATTTTGTTTCAAAGCCCTATCTAGTTCTGTCTCAGACTCACTGTGTTTGTGGCTCCAGGCCCTGGGGGACCACGCTGCTCCTCCTTGTCAGCCGATCCATCCCTCTCCCCATAACCTCAGCAATTGAAGAGCACTCACCCCCAAGAAGAGAGGGGTCAGGTTTAGGGCCAGAAAGCAACCCAGTGCTTTCTTGTTCCTATTTCCTGGGGGAAGCTGGGCCTCCCCTGGCCATGGGTGCATCTAGCCCTTTCCTCCACACAAGCTAGGCCCCAAGGCCAGGGCCAGCTGAGTCCTTCCCCAACCACCAAGCAAGCTTCCCTGGGCAGGAACACTCCAGGGTGAGGCCTTCAGCTAGACCCCAACCACCGTGCCCAGGAGCCTGCTGGGGTGGATGGGGAGGCGGCCATTGGCCCCCCCCAAACCTCAAGGGAGTTTGAGGATAAAAGGGATGGTTCTTAGCAACTCTCCCTTCATCCTCTACCCCATCTGACCTGCTGCTTCTGCTCCCTTTGCAGCAGCAACAGAGCCCTCTCTGCTGCGCAGACCCAAGCCTGCATTCAGAGAGGTTTAGGCCAAAGGTCTGCAAGCTGCTATAGGATTTGGTCTCCCCAGAGCTTCTATTGGGGGTGGAAAGCACAGCAGGGACTAGTAGAAAGAACGTATCTATAGATGTGTACATACCACAGGGCTGGAATTTTTGTATGTAGCAATCATGTAAATACATGTATGGATTTTATAATATACATATTATATATATATATATACATAAATCTATAAAGGCATATTTTTAGAAGGAAAAAAGAAGATCCACAGCTTTTGTAAATAGTCCAAATCAGAATAAAATCAATTTCTATAGAACTGCATTGGCCTTGGTTATTCTGGACTTTGGGCTCAGAATCACTCCTCTGCAATTGCCCTGGTGAGTTCATGAGACAGATAACTCCATCCCACATCCACTGAGTCACAGGACTGAAGACAGAGGCTAAGCTGGGTGCCTCGTGTCTGGCTGGAGAGATCGGCACAGACCAGGCCTCTGGGGGTGCCACGCACTGTGTCTGCTGTGCTCCGCCAATTCAAACGAGCCCTGATCCAGAGCGAGAAGAGACTGAAAGAAGCTAGCTATTCCAACTCCTTCATTTTACAGATGAGGAAACTGAGGCTCAGGAAAGGGATTCCTTTTACAGATAAGGAAACTGAGGCTCAGGATTTACACAAGGTTGCATATTTCAACCCAGGTCTTCCAACTCCTTTTACTATAAATTAGTAACAAAAACAGAGAAAGACTTCAGTGTGATGGGGGGGAGACGACCCCCACCCCTGACAAACTACCCCAATATGAAAACCTTAAGGGAATGGCTCCCCCAGCCCTCTCTTTCAGGCTCTCGTGCTCTCCTGGTGCAGCTGAGGGAGGGAGTCATCACTGGATAGTAGCCAATGTGAACACGCTCTTCCCGGCCAGCTGGGAGGCTAAAGCCGGCCTATAGCATCCCCTAATGAGCAAGATGGGAAAAATCAGCTCGTGTGCCCACAGCCCTGAAGCCCAGGCCCTCGGGCAAACCTCCTGCACACAAAGGCTTCTGGCTCTATCCCGTCTTTCTCAGTGAGAACAAACGCTGACTGGCACCCCTGGCATTTCACCACAGACAGCTCCCAGCCAATTCCTCTGATTTGAGGGGAAGTGATACCCAGCCTCAACCTTCCACTGGACAGAGCCAACTTCTAGCCAGAAGTTCCCAGGGTGGGAGGCGTCTGCACCTGCACCAGCCAACCCTTCAAGACCATTCATTCCCCCTGCAGAGTACAAACAAGGGCTGGCCATGTACACAATGGGATGGGAAGGAGCCAGCTCCAGCCCCGAGCACAGCTGGAGGAGAGGAAATAGACCCTGGAAGGATTTGGCAGCTTATAACCTTTATTTTTAGTATTTTTTTTAAAAAGCATAATTAGAAACTTTCAATACAGAAATAATCCTAGCAGACCACTGAAACGTTCCATTGTTTGACAGGAAATTTCACATTGCATCTCCTAGGGCTGCGGCCCCTCCCACACCCCACCCCCCTTTTCCACCCAGCCCCCCCCCAGTCGCTCCCCATCCATGTGGCCTATCTGCCCCAACCTGAGCTGGCCCCTCCACCAAAACACACCCCACCACCTGGGAAGCCCCACCAGATTGAGAAGGCTCTCTCTCCTCCCCAGGGCAGGGCCCTCTCACCTCCTCAGCTGGTTTGGTTTCAAAGCACTGATACTGATTAACTTTCACATCAAGAGTAAACAATAGAATCCAGAACTTGCCCCCGGATGGAGCAGGATTCTCAGCCACTCCTGAGCATCCTTTGGAGCACCTACAGCCCCATCTCCAGCACAGCCCTAAACAGCGGTGAACCAGCTCCCACCCAAAACCCACCCTTGGGGGGATGAGCAGGGAGAAGGTGGGATGGCTGCCTGGTGGGAGCTGGGGTACTCCCCCACCCTCTAATTCCACAATTCAAGTCTTCTCATTTCCAGAGCACTTTCCCTAATCAGCCTACTTCCCATCCCCCCCCCCCCCCCCCAGCCCCAACCCAGTTCCTCCCCCTCCACTGCCCCGAAGCAAAGGCCCAGAGAGAAGCAAAAGCTTTTGGCAGTTCTGGGATGAGGAGATGGGTAGACGACATCCCCAGTTTTTATTGATTAAAAACCCGCCCAACAGTGTTTACATGGAAAATCTGCAGTGACTGATCCGTGATGTGATTGTCCAATCAAAACTTTGCATGGAAATCATTTAGGAAAAAAAAATCTATTAAAGTAATTTGCAGCGAGAACATAAATTACTCCCAGGTTACGTGATCCTTTTTAGGGGTGTGTTAAGGAGGTATGGGATTCAAGTGCAGAGGACCTCGGCCAGGGTCCCAAGGCGCCCGTGGAACTGTGCTAGTTATGCTGCTGGCGCAGCCCCATCTCTGCCCCCTCGCCCCTGCCTCCCATCCCCAAGAAGCTGTCATTGCTGCCTGGCCCCATTCTCCTTTGGACCAAGGAAGTGGGCTGTCAATAATCTCATCTGAACCAGTCACCCAGCTGAAGAGGGTCCTTTCCCCAGGGCAAGCAGCCCCGCATCGCCTCCTCAAGCTACCCAAGCGACAGGCTGCTGGGAAAACTGAGGGCGAGGATCTGAAACCCCTTCTGTCCCTGCCCTGTAGACAAACAGTCCCGAAGGTTGTTCTAGAGCATGAAGAATCCAGGCCTCACAGTATTTCTAACTTGTTTCAGTCCTTCCAAAACTACGACCACCGGAGGGGTAGGGCACTGCCACTGCTCCCGCTCCCCCGAGGCTCCAAAGGACAGGGCCAAGGGATTTTTTTCAAATGATTTGATTTGGCTTCATTTTCTTTATAAAAAAAAACCGGTAACCCTTGCCCTCCCCCCACCCTCCAATCCCGACCAACACACACACATTCACCCCTGGCTTTCTGCTGCAATTTAAACATTTTGGTACAAACTTAAGAGCCTGTGCCTTAAGAGCTCCTGTGCCTGCGGTTCAAAGAACCGAGGAGGGGCCGGGAGGCAAAAAGTAATATCCACTGGCCAAAGGACAGGACTCAAGTTCACATAGAGAAGCAGGAGGATGGGGTGAAGAGAGATGACCTGACTGGGGAAGAGCCACGAGGCCCCCCAGCTGCCCGGAAGGGGCAGGAGGTGGGGGAGAGGGGGAGAGGAGGGCAAGCCCGGGTCTAGCAGGCCACGGCTCACCCCAGACCCAGCTCACAGCACAGGGAGGGAGTGCTGGATCCAACAGGGACATAAGGGGCCTGACGCGGCCGCCTGAGCAAGAGAACAACAAGTCCCTAGCTCTGTCTGGCCAGGCCAAGGAGGGCAGGGCCTGATCCTGACATTTGAGGAGCTGCTTGTGTCTGGGAACGAGAGGAGGGACAAAGGAGAGAGTCCTGGTGGCTTGGCATTAAGGAGGCAAAAGCCCGAGCGAAATGAGGATGGCGCAGCTGGTTAAAGCAATATACATTATGTACAAACTCTGGGTTAATCAGTCCGCTCGGCTGGCAGCGTCCGCACCCGTGCTGTGGGCGCCTCGGCCCTGGGACAAAGGGGAAGCACGGAGGAGAGGTGGGTTCACCCGACATCTTCTTGGCACTCCAAGGGGAGGAAAGAGTGCCCACGGCACCTCCCAATAGAAAACGTGGAGAAAAACATCTTTAAATAACGGCACGAAACTGAGAATGTGCCCCCAGGCCCGTGGCGGGCGGCAGGCGGGCGGGCAGAGGGGCCACAGCGCAGTCTCTGCAGCAGCACAGGTGGGGCATCAGCAGCACCGCTTCTTCCGTTTACTGTTCTTCGTGAGCTTCACCACGTCGTTCTGTTGCTGCTGCTGCTGCTTTGCTAAGTTATCTTTCTTTGCTCGGAGAACCAGCTCTGTGATGCAGTTGAACATCTGCAACAGACAAGGGAGGGCCAGAAGTCCATAAGAAATACCGTTTAAAGGGAAGAAGGGGCAAAGACACCAGCCGCCAAAGGCTGGAAACAGCCCCCTCCGCAGAGTGCAGTCAGACCCAGACAAAAGCTCCGACCCACGTGCAGAGGGTAACAATCCACAGACACCCTTCCTCAGCCGCCCGTTCCACTAGGCCCCCCAGCCTCTACCCCAAGGTCCCACTCC